GGAACGGGTGAGGGTAGGGGCAGGTGCGCTGGGTGTAGAGCGTGGGTGGTTGCCCTCCACCAAAAGAGGTGAATTGCTCAAGTTAGTTAGTCCCTTTCCTGGGGTTACCCGCGTCCAGTGACAGGTTGGGGTGAGGGCTCGGAACACTGGCTCTCTTCTCTCGGTTTGGGAGTTCTCCAAGAGGCTGTTCCGGTGCGGGATTGACTAAGGCCTTCATTCCACCTGCGTGCTGCCCTGTTAGTTCATTTCTGCTTCTGCTTCATCCCGTTTCTTTCACTCTTGTGTTTGGAAGCACTTCTCAGTAAACCTCGTACAAATAAATCCCTGCCTCTGAACCCATCTCCTAGGGGTCCTGACGCACGACTCTGGGCGTTGTACAACCCAGCACGATGCAGGAGCCCTGCTGCCTTTGCGTGGCCGCAGGCGTGCGTGTGTGGGTCCAGAGTCCTTTCTCACTGATAGGCGTCTGTGCGGCTCTGTGAATGATGCATTCTGTCTCCCCACTGCTTACTGAGACCGCATCTGGAGTAAGTGATCACCCCAGGCGGACCACATTCAGGGCATTGAAGGACCAGCCCCCACATCTCACCCAGGGCTTCTGAAAATGAAGGCTTCTGCCATGGTGAGCCGTTCTGGGATCTCTTGGGTTGCGGTAAGGTGGCCCGATCTACCACAGGGGCTCCTGTACACTGTTGCACTGTGGCACACTGCTCCAGGGCACTCCCGTTGTTGCAGGCGGGCCGCAGCAACCTTTGTTAACTGCGGTGGGGGGAGACCAGGCCATCTCCAGTAAGTCCGAAAACAGAAGATAGAAATATGAGAAACAAAACCATTACAGAACAAGATAAAGGAGAATAACAAGGTAGAGAAGTGTTTATTAGGCACAAAAAACACACCTGGAGAAGGAAAAATCCGTAAATCTGACTGTCAAAACTGAAAACTTAAATATTATGATAAGACAGAACTGTGGGCTGGAAAGAGATCGCTCTGTATTCTGATCTTCAGGATTTGATCGAGCACCTGCACCAGCTTGTGCAAATCCGCAAGACAAACAGCGCCAAGGAAAAGGATTTCCATAAATAATAAACACGAGCGGGAAGCAAGCTAGTTGTCGTGCATGTGGAGCATACCTGAATTTGTAATCAGAAACACAGAGCTACAGGGAGATGACGTTTCATCACTCAGGTTGTCAAAAATCAAGCTGTCTGAGAGACACAAGTGTTGGTAAGGGTTTGGGGACACGGTGTACTTGAATGCCGGCACGAGTGAAGTTGTGTCAGCACTGGGGAACAAGTTGGTAGTATCTAGTCGGGTTGGAGAAAGTCCGGGACGTGTGTACAAGGAGACCTGAAGGTAAGGCACAGCGCTGTGGGTGATTTTTAAAAGGCCCATCAGCAAGGATTGACCAGTTAGGGTTGATACACTGGAATGTTATCCAGCAACTAACTGTGCACTATAGACACATGGCGAAATCTCAGAGATGGTCTTGAGTAGGAAAAGCAATTTGCAGAAACATCGAGTGTGGCGCTGCTCCCGTGAGTTAGCACAGACACTGTCCGTTCACAGCTGTGCGGCAGAGGGAGAGCTTTTTTAAAGCAGAGACTTGAAGAAATACGTTAAAAGTCGTAACAGTCTCAGTGGTACTTCACTTTGGGAAGGAAGAGGGGGCTGGGAAGCAGAAGCCTTTGCCTTTCCCCCTAACCGTCTGTTTCCAGGCACGTTTGGCTCATCTTCTGTCCTCCCCACAGTAAACTAAACCGATGACACAGCCACATCCACAGGCTTAGTGTAGTTTTGCATCTTGATCTCTGTGTCGTTGGACACCGTTGGTCATACCTCTGGTAGGGTCTTCTTCCTCGCCCGTGCGTGCCCCGGCTCTGTCGCCGCCCCTCCTCAGCCTGCTGCTGCCTGCCTGCCTCTTTATCGCTGCCCTCCTCCCTCCTCCCTCCTGTCCCCAAACGTCAGGGACGGAGTCTGCCACACCGAAGCCTGTCTCCCTTTCCGGTGGTGGCCCCCAGTTCTGTTCCCAGAGGTGACCGCTGACAGTAGCTTCATCCTCAGAAATCCGACTGCCCCCGACACACCACGTGCACACGGTGATGTGTGCCTGCTCATGTAACACAAGCATACACATGGTGTATGTTCTGCACTTTTTAAAAATCACATGGCCTTTTGATATTTTGTTAGTTCAGTGTGATTTATATCTATCAACATGATCATATAGATCAGCTTTCTTTTTAAGATTTGTATCTTGAAATGAGAGGTAACACCGAGAACAGGTGACCCTGAGCTCATTTCAGTTCTTGTTAATGAATACTTGTTAGTTTCCTGCCATTTACAAAGGTGGTGCTCTCTTGGGAGGTGTTGGGATAAATGTAGAGCACCATAGGTGAATTATCCTGTTCATCTGGCCGGGCAGACACATGACTCATGTTGATTGTGGAGGACCGAGGTCGGCATAGGGCTCCTGCTGAGATCGGCGGTCTCCAGGGTGGAGACGAGGTGGGGGTAGAGGGGAGGCAGAAGGAAGAAACAGGGGCTGGGGGGACGTCGGGGCATCTGTGTGAACGGTAGTGGGAAACTTCCCGACACAGGCCATTTCCCTCATGGTCTGCTTTCAGTGAAGAGTGGCTGAGATTATTGGAACGTTTATTCCTGAGCGAGGAATTATTTTTATTACCTTCCTCAACATCAGAAGTGTTTGTTATTTGGAAGCACGCCTGTCTGATTCCTACTTCTTAGACTTTTTAAAAAATGATTTTTAATGTTTTATTTATTTTGAGAGAGGGAGAGAGAATGAGAGCGCATGCGTGCTTGCAGCAGGGAGGGGCAGAGAGAGAGAGAGAGAGAGAGAGAGAGAGAGAGGAAGAGGAAGAGAGAGAGAGAGAATCCCAAACAGGCTCCGCACCATCAGCACAGAGTCCCGCTTGGGGCTTGAACCCACGAACCATGAGATCTTGACCTGAGCTGAAACGAAGAGCCAGGTGCTCAACCAACTGAGCCACCCAGGTGCCCTGATTTGATTCTCATTTCAGAAATAAATAGAATGAGACAGTTATGTCCTTTGGAGGTGAACCATCTCCAGATTTGTAGGTTAAAAATCGGGAGTAATACTAAGTTTTGAGGTAAAAAACAGATACTTAAGTGATTTCATAGAGACATACAATTGATATAATTTCAGTTAATATAAAACGTGTGTGATTTTAACAAGCAGATACAGTTTCAGTTGGAAGTGAAATTTGCTTATGGAATTGGCCCCATCTGTTTGGAGCGCCATCAGCAGACTTGCTTTTCTGTGCTGAGGCTTTTTGTCTCTTTAGAATACATTTTATTCAGGGGGGCGGGGAATACATTCTTCTGTTTCTGCTGAAGAAGTCTGTGCTGTTAAAGCTGGGCTCTCGTGAATGACCCGATTGCCTGATTTCAGGTGTTTACTGACTCAGAGCAGTCGGTCCCCCGTGGAGCCTTTTTCTTTTTAAAACCTTGCACAGAAACCATTTTTAAAGGATTCTTTCATGGTCTTGAAATTTCTTGGTCACGTCCTAGGGGAACAATTACTGAATTTCTGCACCCAGGTCTCTGCCGGTTCTGAGGGATTAATTGGCCTGGGACTAAGTTGGGCGCGGTCTGGCCTTCGGAAAAACATTCCGATAACATCACCAAAAAATTATAATACCTGTTCTGTAACCACAAGTCTTGGTTTCAGTGACGTCTTTAGATTTTCCAGTACAACACGTGTGTCCGTTTGTGTGTCTGTGTGCTGGGGAGGGTGATCTACCCGTTTCGGGAGTGGCCTGCGGGAGGTGGTCTTGGTTAAGGCAATGAGCACAGGCGGGGCCGCGCGTGGGCCCACAGCAGAGCTTGGGTACGGGTGGGCCCACAGCAGAGCTTGGGTACGGTCAAACGTGGGTGATTGTGAGGTCGATCAATTCACTTGGGGCCTTGAGAAGACACATGTCTGGTGTGACTTCGGTACATTTGGCTACTTTGTTAGGGGTTTAAAATGACACCCTCGAATTTCCAGTCATCTTCCATTCAGGCTCTTCATGCCCAGCACTGTGCTTTCCAGACAGCACAGGTCCACGGGTTTCTGGAGCAGCTGACCCGGTCCAGTAAGAATAGGTATTCTCCCTGCTCCCTCCCCTTGCCTCCCTGTGTACTCAGAGCACACGGCGACTGAAGGAAAGTCCAGTCGTTAGACTTGTTTTTTTAAAACTTGAATCTGCTGTTTTTCTAACTTTATGAGCAGGAAGCCCTGCCCCTTATTAACTGTGTGACCTTGTCTCACTTTTCTCTATAAAATAGGGGAAACTCCTTCATCTGGTGATTACGAACATTGCACGAGATAGGTTTGTAAACTTGCTGGGCACGCAAGTGCTGGGTGAGATGGTTGTTTTCATTTAGATGTGGTTCTTCTAGGCTCACGGAGGGCATGGGCCCAGCAGAGACAAAATAACAGGAATGTGCCATTGGGGGCAGCTTCACAGACAAAATGGGTTTGGATGGAACCTGCAGGGTTGGATCAAATTCAACAGGTTGAAAAGGGTGATGGTCTTAAGTTGTTTCTCTGAATATTCTTAAATATTCACAAATTTCCAAATCAATTGGCTTGAAAGTGGTTCTTCAGTGTTTGACTTCAGATGTAATTAATATAAGTTGAAAGACATTTGGGATCTATTGAAAACAATCTAAATTAGGGAAGTATACTACGACTTTCTACGCTGATGGAAAGAAATCTTCTGTGTCTGTACTGTCATCCAGTATGGTAGTCACTAGCCATACTGAGCACTTGAACTGAAATTTAAATTTTATTTACTGTCATTTAAACTTGAAATAAAATGGCCATGTGCGGCTGCCATGTTGGAGGAGCACAAAAGTGAGCTTAAAAATGAAATGAAGAATTCGTTTCCAAAGAAATAGAATACAAATAAAAATTTCTAATCAGTTAATTCTTTTGTGATTTGTAAATTCATCATGTGACGCTCTTTGCTTTGTTGTAGGGTCTCCAACTGAGAAACACGGCACTGTTTCCCTGCACTCTACCCACCTATCGCTGGACTTCTGTCGTAACAAGTTGGCAGACACTGGCTGGAAGTGGGCTGCGATAGAACATGCCAGTATCAGTGCTGACACAAGAGCCTAACAAGTGCCAACTTACAGATGATTACGCATTTTGAATTCTAATGAACTGTTTTAACCTTCAGGAAGAATTGTAAAGACCTGTACATAGCACAACATGATCCGGATAATATATATACTATTCATGTACATCCACAGATACACCTTGTACCAAATAATGCTTTCTTGTAGTAGAATAAGAATCGTGTAAATTCTAAAAGATTTTAGCAGGTTTTCTTTCCCTATTCATTGTTTCTTATCAGTTTTAAAAGACTCCTTAAAGCATGTCAGATGAAAAACAATTAGGATTACAAGTTTCCATTTAATTTCCTTTAAACCATTGAGGCTTCATTAAACTCTTTTCACTTACTAAACTTTTGTATCTTCTTTGTTTTGACACACTCCCCTTTGCTTTTATCTCTTCTATCTGCCAGAAAGTTTTCAAATCATTTAGTTCCAATACTGAAATACTTAATAAGCAACTACTTGATTTTTAATGATGACTTCAGAGGAGTGGTCATCACCAGGTGCTTTGTCCTTTTGTACCCTAGTTGTACCGTCTCTTGGGTTGGTTGTAGCAATAACATGTTTTGGCTGTTGAGAGCTCTTGAACTCAGTCATTATCCCTGAGAACTAAAAAGAGTCAGTTCAGAATCCAACTTAACTGAAATTTGCCCCACATGGTGCAGAAGTCTGGTTTGGTTTTGCTTTTGCCCCCCAGTTCCCTGCCGTTAAGGTCGGGTGGATTACGGTGTGCACTCCGCAGGCTTTCTGCGTCACTCGCGGGTTCGCGAGGACAGACGCTGTTGACCCCGTGTCCCCTTCTCCTGAGCCCTTCGTGTTTCTTTGCCTCTACTCTTCTATACTGCAGGTTTTTTCTCACTTATTGTACAAAGAAATTGCGATGTATATTTTCATGTAATTTGATTTTGGAATTCTGTCACCGTATGTAGTGAGTTCTTCCAAAATACAATTTTTTTCCAATAATTGTCAAGTTGTTGGCTTTTATTGTATTGAATGAAGGTTATAATACTGAATGCCAGAGAAATGCAGTTTAGAAAAATCTCAGGTTGATTCCTTATGCAAACAGACTTATACTTGAAAATCCCATGGCCGTGGCAGTGGATGTATTGGGCTCTATCTCTAGGTTCTTATGTGGATCTCAAAGCACTACAGGGGTGTGAATGCTTTGCTGTTCGACATATAGCTTCTGTCACTGACATAGTGCACTTGGATTTTATTAATGTTTGAGCATAAGCATATTTCATATCATGTTTTCTAAAACAGCTTCAGGAAATGATGAAGTGAACGTGTGCAGTGTTAACGGCAGGCCCAGGTTCCTCTATGTTGGGTGTGAGGTTGGGATTGGGAAGTAGTAGTTGGCCTGTAAGAGACAGAACTCGAGACGGTACCAGATGGGACACAATTCTGTGAGAATTGGTGCGTCTCTGCTCTGTGGGGCTTGGAGAGACGCTTTGGCAGAGAGTGAAGGGATCCCTATGAGTAGCCCCATCCTCTGTGGACTCTGCAGGTCCTTTTTGAAGCAGAAGTAAAATGGTTGAGGATGTAGACACAGTAGAGAGTGATTTTTCTAAACACCTGTCTGTTCCCCACTCTGAAGCATTATAAAATCCTATACATGTGTAATTGCTGAGTATGAAAATTGTTTGATTTGATTTACTGCAGCCAGTTTTCTTCGAGAACTTCATTTGGGACTCCCCCCCCCCCCCCCCCGCCCAAATTCTAAAACTTGTTGCCCCAAAGTGCTGGTAGTGCACACGCGCCTGGGATTTGAATGCAGTCCCTCTTACTCTTACATCAGAAACTGTCCACATGGTGGCTGCTTGTGGCAGAATGGAGTCTGAACTTTGCTCTCCCGTTGCTGTGATTCTGCTAGTGATCTGTCAAGTTAAAACCTGGGACTTGACTCTTCAGGGAGCGGCAAATGACCTAGTAACTCAGGGACAACTCTTACTGAACTTTAAGTGCCACTTAAATGCAGGTACCTTGGAGTAACCATGTGTGTTTTGGGGCTAGATCCTGGGGAGTCAAAGGGGGAGCCAGGAACGAGGGCCCCTCCCTTCCCGCTCTTTTCCACCTGGCGCCCTGGCGTGCTGCATGTGGACACACAGGCCTGGTGGGGGGGGGGGGGGGGGGGG